TGTTTCAAGTCCCTCGGAAGCAGGTGGGACAGACAGACAGCGCCCTGTCGGCTGCCAGCTGCGGCCTGGCCGGTGACCCCCGGAAGCAAAACTCCAGCCTCGGTCAAGGAGGCAAGGGAGCAGGGCCCACGCGGGGACAAAGTCCCTTCCCTGAAAACAGAGGTTACACCTGATCCCTGCCCTTCTATAACCTTCACGAAGCAGCATATCAACAACAGGTTGAAGCACTAATAAAAATGAAGAAACACAGATAGTAACAGAGAGAGAGAACTAATCTCAGAGAGTGTTTTCTTTCTCTCCTTTTGAAACGTAAATACTCCCAGGAGTCAGGCCGCACCGCCGCCTGTCAGTGCACCGGCGGAACGGCAGGGCCAGGACATAAGCGAGTACGCAGGAAAAGTAAGGAGGGAAGGCGCCCCTGCAAGGACTCCAAGGGGGAGGGGGCTTGAGGAGAAACGTCTAATTTTACCTCGCAGTCGCCCCGACTCGATGGCCTTTATCTCCCTGAGCTCGCTGGCACCGTTACTCCTGGGAACACGTAACTCACTCCACGCCACTCCTAACCCGAACGGCGAAGTGCCGTCGCCCCTTCCGCGATTCGCGGGCCGCGGTGGCATTTCAAGTGGCGGAACCTTCTTCACAGCGCGACCTTCCTCTGCAGAAACCCACTTTCGCGCACCGCGCACCGCGCTCAGCGTGGCGTCCGTCTGGGGTGGCCGGTCCGGGGCCCCCCGGCTTCCCCGCGTGCAGAGCCGCCGCCGCCCCCCGGGTCTCCGCGCCCCGCCCCTCGGGTGTCCGCGCCCCGCCCCCGCCGGCGGCGTTATAGGTCCCGCCGGCCGCGCACACCCGCCGGCAGCCGCGAGCATGGAGAGGAGGGCGCGGAGCTCGTCCCGAGAGGCCCGCGGGCGAGGCGGCCGGGCCCCGCACACGGAGAACAGGCGGGCGAGGGCCGAGCGGGGCGGCGGGGGCCGCGGGCTTCGGGACGCCGGGCCCGAGCGGACGGGCTCCGGACGGGAGGGGGAACCGGCGGGGCCCCGAGCGGCCGCCGCCACCGTGGTGGACGTGGATGAAGTGCGCGGCTCCGGCGAGGACGGCACCGAGGTGGCGGCGCTGCTCGAGAGCGAGCGGCCCGAGGAAGGTACGCTGCAGACGGGCCGGGCACCGGGCGGGAAGCCGCCTTCCCGGTGCCCGGGGGTGTCGTACGGCGGAACGAGGCGGGCCACCAGGAGCCACCGCAGCCAGAGCAGACTGCTGGACGCTCGGGTTGCCAGGAAAAGAAGGCGTGAGCTGGGCACCCAGCGACCTGCTACGGTGCAGTACAAAGTGCATCAGAGGACATCCAAGTAACGTTACTGAATACGTCTGGTCTCGGGGGCCAGCCACGCATGGGAGGCGGGAGACCGTGTGGTCCAGGTTGGGGGCCGAGCGACGTGGTAAAGGAGCCACGAAGTCGGTTTCTGTGGCCCTGGAAGGGCATAGGGGCGGGCGCCTAATTCAAGTAAAGACATGCATGAGCTGGGTGCTCTGGGCAATTATGTGGCTTTTTCTTCTCTCCTCTTCCTCACCCCTCAGTCTTACCTAAGAATATTTTAAACTGGTTTTGGAGATGATAATTCTTTCTTTAAATAAAAAAAGAGAAAAAGCAGATGCAGAAAAGCCAAGTGGAAGAGCCAGACTTGAGTTTAAATCACAGCTTAACTAGTTGCTGGCCATGAGATCACAGGAAGGGCCTTAACTATCTGTCAAATAACAACCTAGCTGCCTCAGAGGGTAGTTGTGAGGATAAAATTAGAAAAGGCACCCAAAGCACTTTTTACAAAGCCTGGAGCAAAAAACATGCTCCATTTTAGCAGAATCCTTGCAAGCTAAAAGAAGCAAGTTAGATCAAAGGAAAGAAAAAAAAAAAAGGCGCCTCTGCTGCTGCAGGAGAAGAAGCACCTAGGAAAGAAAAAAGATCAACCACCAGCACTCCTGAAGAAAAGAAAAAAAAAATCACAACAAAAGTAGTAGGGTGACAGACGTTTAACAGAAAGTAAATAAAGAACAGTGTGTTATATTGCTTTCTGCTTGCTACAAAGTTTTAACATTTCCTGGCTACCAGTAATGAGGTACATGCTGGATCACTGGAAGCTACAATTTGAGAAAGATTTCTGCAGTTGGGATGTCGTTTAAATGGACCATGTTAATACTGTTTTGCCCCATTGATGCCCTTTCATCCGTCAGAAACCTCTAGTCATTAAAGAGTTGTTCCGTTCAATGCTATAGCAATGCTGCGGTTAGAGGGCTCATAGCCGTTGTGTGGCAGATCACAGTGGTGTGGTACGCAAGGAAGGGAACTGCCATTTATGGAACCCCTGCTATGTGCCAAGCACACACTGGGTGTGTACTGAGTTATCTAATCCCTTATCATCCTATTACAATGAGACATTAAGTAACTTGCCCAAGTCCCATAGCTGGGAAGTGGAAAGCCAGAATTCCAGAGTAAGACAGTCTGATTAAAATGCTCTCCCTTGCATGGTGCTGCCCTTGATTTCTGGTCCTGGTCCCAGCTACCAACTAGCTGTGGTCATGGGCACCTTTGTGGGCCTCAATCTCCCCAGCTACAAAGTAACTAGGGCAAGAGACCCCCCCAAAATGGGTGCGAAGTCCCACTAAGGATGAGGCAGCCTTTGCATCAGGGAGGTTTCCCCTGGTCCCAAGGAATCGGGAGCAACGGCGCCTTTTTCTCAGCACCACTGCCCTATACGCAGGCTACTTAAGACAGGTGTCACCATTCTAAAATTTGGGGGATTCGTGGACTGTGTCTAAAGGCTCTTCCTGCTTCAACTTTTAATGTTTCACTACTAACTTAAACCAAACAAATTGGATATTAAAGCAACTTATTCCAAGAGAATAACATTTTGTGAGTAAAGCTTTAAGTTAGGTTTGAGTATAGAAATGTTTTCTATTCACATCCCTAACCTCTGTACTGAAGAATCTCTGAGGCCTCTCTACACCTGTTACATGTAACTTGGTCTGTATGTGCATTGATTGTTACTGCCACGGCTACCGCTGGTAACTAATTAAAAATGGCAGCGATACTGTTAGTCAGTGTCTTGAGATTATAAAAATTAATATGATGTTGGTAGAGCAGCATTTCCCAAAGTGGGTTCCAAGGGGAATAAGCTCCAGACAACATCAGTGAATGTTCCTTGGAGAAAATATTACCTGGTCAAATGCTTCAAAAACACTAGAGTCAACAAAGCTAAGAATGATTCTTTGCTGCAGAGATTCTCATAACTTCAACGTACTGAGGAGCGCTGGCAACTCCAGGAATGGGATGCAGTGCCCAGTGTTCGCTAAACCCATTTGCCCAGGAAACTTTTCCTTTGTGGGGCACCTTCTGGGATTAGTATTCTGTGGGGACAGCCTTTGGAACTGCCATACTATGACATTTAGTGCTGCTTTTGATTTTGAGCTGGTGCCGCTTACGTATCTGTCCTCTTCAAGTGATCTGCACGTCAATTTGCTGATGACCTTTCCAAGCATGAAAATCAAATTTTCAGGCCTACCAGTTAGTTATCCTTTTCCTCCCCATCCCTTAAAAATAGGCTTTTTACCATTTCCTAATCTTTGGTCAGCTTCTAGTCCTCCACAGCAGTCCCCAACCTTTTTGGCACCAGAGACCTGTTTCATGGTAGACAATTTTTCCACAGATGGGGGATGGGGGTGGGGGGGTGGAGGCGGAGCTCAGGCGACGATGCGAGTGACAGGGACAGCAGCTGTAAATGCAGATGAAGCATCACTCACCGTGCTCCCACCACTCACCTCCTGCTGTGCAGCTGAGTTCTCCTAAGTTTCATGGAAGACATGGGCAGGAGTTTTCACGGGTTCTCCATGGGCAGGGGTCGGGGGAGTTGGAGGGGGGAGGTGGCACAGTGGAGCTCTAAGGCCCCATCCTGGGGGTTGGGGACCGCAGCTTTATTTATGAGATTTTTAAACTGGCAAAGGGTATCACTTTGGCCAGTTTTCTAGTACCTGGAGATTAAAATTCTTGAGATTTTTCATAACTATTACGTTTAAATCATTGTCACTATCCACTTCTCCTTTTTTCCTACATTCAACAAAGTTTTATTGAGCACCTATATTGTGTCAGGCACTATTTTAACACCGGGGGGCACAATGTCAACAAGACAAGCCCCCAAGAAGCTTGTGCTCTCGAGGCTGACTTTCCTTGATACCATTTCATTTATCACCCAAGCATCCTGGATGTTTTGCACCCCGGTTCCTTATAACTTTTTTTACAGACATTAGTCGGCTAATGTTACAATCCTCTATACATGATTTTCAAAGACTTGCCTGATGATCAAGACCTTCATCCAAAGAGGGGCTCTGATGGAGTTATTTCAGACATTAGGGCAGGTAGTGGAAGGGGAAGTTATTTCATGAAAGATGAGCCTCTGTTCACATGTGGGTCAAATCACTTCAAATACCAAACAGAGCTGACAGATGTAAAGCACAGCTCAGGGCTTTTTATGTGTGTATGTCATTTCATCCTCATGCCAGAGACAGGAGCTGTAACTCATGAGCCAGGTGTCATGAGATCGTTATGAAATAGTAGCATCTGCATTCTATAGTTGGGGAAACAGGTTGGAAAAGGTCATGTGCCTTGCCTAAGGTCATATGGATATGAAATGGTAGAGCCAGAACCGGAACCCAGACCCTCTTCCCGGATTCCGTGCTGTTGCAGTGTGCCCACTACCTTTCTAGGAGCCTGCTCCCCCTTCTATAGGCCCACACAGACAACACCCGAGGCCCTGGGCATTCTGACTACTCTGATATCTGGCTCATTCTAGTATTTCCAGGAACATCTCCAAGCTGCTCTGACGCCAGTACCAAGAACTGGACCAACAAGTGCTAGTCAATGAATATGGTGAAGTTTCAATATAATTCTTCTTTTTTTTTTTAAGGCATCAAGACCTCTGGTTTAGGGGCCTGTGAGTGGCTTCTTGTCCTCACTTCCCTGCTCTTCATCATTGTGACCTTCCCTTTTTCCATCTGGTTCTGCATAAAGGTGAGATTCCACGAGGACCCAGTAGGTAATTTCCTGGTGCCTCCCACTCACCGCACCGTGCCCATTCTCATCTCTGTGCTTTGGTACATGTCGTTGCTCTGTACGGAATGCCCTTACCCCCAACTCGTCTTCCAGGAGAGCTTGTACTCCTTCAAGACCTTGCTCAAATGTACCTGTGAAGCCTTCCTTGACTCTTCCAGACTATCGTTCCTTCCTGTGCTCCTGTGTGACACTGTTTTCACAGGGTCCTAGCACTTACCACCCATATCATATTTGTTGACACCCTATGTCTCCCATTAAACCGAGAGGCGCTTCAGGGCAGGGGCTACATCTCGTTCATCTGCACTCTGTGACACAAAGACTGGCACACAATGGCTCGTGACATCCTCTCCTCAAACTTCCAGGAAACTTCTCTGGCTGCTTCTGTAGACCATGAGTGATGGCTATCTTTGGCCCGCAGGCGGTTACACACGACTGCCCGTAAGTAACTGAAGACCTGTGTCAGTTCCGGAAGCACATACCGAGATAGAATTAGAAGGGTAAGGGGGGTGGAGAACAAGACTAGGCGGGGGCCGTCTGCAGACAACCATGCAGATCTGACACTTGTGGTGTGAGAAGGGGAAGAAAAGATGGTGCAGAAAGAGCCTCAGACCGTGGTGCAGCTCTGAGAAGTCTTGGCCAGCCCAAAAGGGAACCTCAGAGCAAAGTCTGCTTCACAGGAGTCCCACGGTGGGCAGAAATGGCAAGGACCTAGTCTTAAAATGACTCCAGCAAATGACGTTCCTAATCATTGCCTGGAGCTGTCAAGGACGAGCACGTCTTGATGAACCACTACAGACGCTGCTGGGACCGCTGTTGGTTGTGCCCCTCCATGGCCTGCAGAGCCTTCTTCCCCTTCCTCTGCCCTTCCCTACCACTCCTCCTCCTCCTCCCCTCCTGCTCCTCCATGAAAGGGTGTTGAATTTTGTCAAATGCATTTTCTGCATCTATTGAGATGATCACATAGTATTCGGCTTTATTGTATTGATATGGTCTACATAGCCATTAATTTTTGGATATTAAAATCCCAATTGATCATGCTGTATAATCTTTATGTTACTTGATTCCGGTTGCTAACATTTTCGCATCTATTAATATATTCATAAGCGTTATTGGTCTGTATTTTTCTTGTGATGGCTGTGTCTTGTTTTGGTATCAGGGTAACACTGGCCTTAAAGAATGTGTTGGGAAAATTTCCCTATGTTCTATATTTTGGGAGAATTTGTGAAAAATTGGTATTAATTCCTTTTTTTTTACTTGAAAAACTTTGAGGTCATGTTACAGCAGCAATTAAAGCTTCTATTTCCTTCACATTCAAGTCCAAGGAACAAATATTGATTCCGAGTTAGACTTCAATGTACCCAACAAGGAAAAATATATTATTGAATCACAACCATCAATACTAAAAAATGTTACAACAACAAATCCAATTACTGGCTCGAACTATTACAGCACCTGTTGTGGACTCTAAGAGCCACTGTACTCCTTCCTGCACCATTTGCTTTTTCTTCTTCCAATAGAAATACAAATGCAGACAATGTTTACAAAAAGCAACCAATGCATCAGAAAAGTTATTCCCATTCAGACTGACTTAAAAGGTCTAAATCTGTGCCAAATAAAACTCTGAAAGAATGGGAAATAAAGGAGCTGCTGACGACAATGCTACTGCCCCGCTGCCTGCTATCCATGTAGATCGAACAGTGCCCCAAGCATTTTAAAAGCAGATTGCAATTCTGCGTTCAGATCAAATTATAATTATTCGAATTCTATTTCCTAAAAGATGAGTATTAAACTGCATCCCAAGCACCCTGCCGTGGGTGTCTCCTCCTCCCCTCCGCCTTCTTCAAGTTTCAGCAACACAGGTGAGGCTACAAAGGGTCCAAGGCGGACTAAAGCTAAGAAATCAGGTCTGACTTTCTCTCCCTAATATTCCTT